GGGTCCAGAGAAGAGCAACAAGCATGATTAAAGATCTAGAGAACATGACCTATGAAGGAAGGCTGAAAGAATTGGGTTTGTTTAGTTTGGAAAAGAGAAGACTGAGAGGGGACATGATAGCAGTTTTCAGGTATCTAAAAGGGTGTCATAAGGAGGAGGGAGAAAACTTGTTAATCTTAGTCTCTAAGGATAGAACAAGAAGCAATGGGCTTAAACTGCAGCAAGGGAGGTCTAGGTTGGACATTAGGAAAAAAGTTCCTAACTGTCAGGGTGGTTAAACACTGGAATAAATTGCCTAAGGAGGTTGTGGAATCTCCATCTCTGGAGATATTTAAGAGTAGGTTAGATAAATGTCTATCAGGGATGGTCTAAACAGTATTTGATCGTGCCATGAGGGAGGGGACAGGACTTGATGACCTCTCGAGGTCCCTTTCAGTCCTAGAGTCTATGAATCTATGAATCTATTGACTGGGATGAAAATCTGTGATTACATTCACCTAACAATTTGTCCAATACAGGAAAAAACAGCTGTCTGCCTCATTTTTCTGTACCACTCTGTCATAAGTATAAAGGAAGGGTAACAACCTTTATGTGTGCAGTAACATAAAATCCTTCCTGGCCAGAGTTACAGAATCACTTTACCTGAAAGGGGTTAAGAAGCTCAAATAACCTGGTTGGCACCTGACCAAAAGGACCAATAAGGAAAGAAGATACTTTCAAATATGGGGGAGGGGATTGTTTGTGCTCTCTTTGGTTGTTCCCTCTCTGGACAGAGAGAGAGAGACCAAGCAGGTAAACCATCTCCTGAAATGATATATCTAAAATTACAGAAATTGTAAGTAAAGGCAAGGAAATGTGTTAGATTATCTTTTGTTTTAGCTTGTTAATTTTCCCTATCCTAAGAGGGAGGTTTATTCCTGTTTTTTGTAACTTTGAAGCTGAGCCTAGAGGGGAATCCTCTGTGTTTTAAATCTTTGTATTTACCCTGTAAAGTTACCTTCCAACCTGATTTTGCAGGTGTGATTCTTTTACTTTTTTAAAAAATAAAATTATTCTTTTCAGAACCTGATTGATTTTCAGTGTCCTAACAACCCAGAGGTTTGGTCTGTGCTCACTTTGTAGCCAATTGGTTGGTATATTACTCTCAAGGCTCCTCAGGAAAGGGGGTGAAGGGGCTTCGGGGAATATTTTGGGGAATCAGGGACTCCCAGTGGCCCTTTTTCCTGGATTTTTGTCTAAATCACTTGGTAGTGGCAGCAATATCATCCAAGGAGAAGGAAAGGATTTGTGCCTTGGGGAAGTTTTAACCTAAGCTGGTAGAAATAAGTTTAGGGGGTCTTTCATGAGGATCCCCATATCTGTACCCCAGAGTTCAAAGTGGGGAGGGAATCCTGACACTCTCATTTTTATCTGGCTGATATTCTCATTCTCTGAGTGTTGGGCCCAGGGGCTACTACCCCGAATGGATCTTTTAATGGCTCCCAGTGGAGCAGGTTAGTCATATCAATGAAAGAGGTCCACAGTAGTTAACCTGTATACACAGCAGTTTATTTGAGAAGGAATTACACAAGTGGTAAAAGGTTACATTTAGCACATAACTCCTATGTTAGACATTAAAGAACTATACAGTAAGAGCTATACTTTCCTCTTAGTGAGCCTCTCTTTCACAAACATACACAAACTGACCCTGTGCTAACCTCACACAGTTCCTGCTTGGCAACCACAGAAGGTGGTTACCAAGTCTATGGATGACTTCTTCCCTCCAGGTCTGGTCTCCTCAGCCCTCTGGTCTGTCTAGGATTTCCTCAAGACAAGGCCTTAGTTGCCTGGAAACCTCTCTGGTCACAGTCCTACTCGAGCCCATGGAGCAGAGTTTTGGCTACTCTGTCCAGCAGCATCTTCAAGCATCAATTAAGGAATCCCCTCTCCCTTTTCTCTCTTGTCTCTTCTCAGACAGTAATTTACTTTGCTTGATTCTTATAATTTTTTCCCTTCAAAGGAGTCACATGTCTCAAAAGCATGCCCAGTGGGCATGTGGTTATTAATTTTAGCTGATTAATATTTTGGAAGGGGCTGGGGGGGCGCGGGGTGCCGAACAAAGACCACGCCATGTTTACTCACTTGTCAATCATTCACTCTGGCTCTCTGAATGGTGTCCTTGTTATAGGGTCATTATAACCAGGTCGGCCTGTGCTCCAGGCTGGAACTTTATGCATGGGATATTTACGTTTGCATGGGCCCATTTTTACTGACCAATAGATTCAATATCGATCGCACACGCAGGCTTTTCCAGGCCTTTATCAAGTCTGCTTCTGCTTAAAGGGGACCCTGCTCCCAGGGTCCTCTGCAATTCTTAAGCCATATTTAAATCATGTCAAGTTGTGCTCACAGCATTCATTCAGCACGGCCACACCAATTTGGCACCATCCCAACACCAAGGAATGCGTTTTTTTTCCACAGGTCATTTCTGAGCATACTTTTCCTCTCTGCCAGGCTAACAGGGATACCATGAAGCTCACAGAACTTTTGGGATTCCTCCCAAAAACCATCCCAATTAGCCGCGAGGTTGTAAGAACTGCTTAATGTTGTGACAGATGGTGTCGGCATCCCCTGTCTCATAGTAAGCAACACATCCTAGAAATCGTTTTTTAGTTCCAGATTTTCTGTTTCTCACACAAACTGTCATTTCTTCTGGTTTAAACCCACATGCTTCGTCAACAATGACAGTAGAAAACCCATACTCCCAAAGTTTCAGAATGACTGTGCGTTTCACAATATCAGCAGCCATTTGTAAAAGTTCGTTTTGAGTTTAGTGACTTGTGAGATTGAAAGAACCACAGGGTTTTTTTGTTTGTTTTTTGTTGTTTTTTTATTGTTTGTTTGGCGAATGCTTCATCATACTGTGAAAACAAATTGCACAATTCCAGGAAGTTTCTACGTTGGCTTATTCTTCTCTCTCATCCTGCCCCCACAGTGCAATTCCTTGTTAGCCAGGTAAAGCAGTACCTTGGTGATTCTTGCAGCATAGTCTCTGTTTGCAAGTAATGCCATCTTCTGAGAATTTGACAACTGCACCACTATATAGCCCACTTCTTTTGACTGTTTGAAAAAATGCCACCTTTCAGAACACTGCTTGTCTATGGCAGATTGTATATGTTTCTGAATTTTTTTTCCTATATTTTTCCAGTCCCTTACTCCATTTTTGGTGAATGCAGGGTCTCTCAAACTACTAGAAAACTGTCTGCAAGAAAGCAGCAAACTGGTACAGGACACATTTGATTAATGATGAAATATCCTTCCCCCTTTTGTCACACAGGTTTAAAGTCAGTGGCCGCAGATGATCACCCAAATGTATTTGCCCACTATATCACGAAGCTCTTTGTTTTTGACTCCATAAATGATAGGATTGAGTATGGGGGGAAGGAGGAAATAGAGGTTGGCCAAGATGATGTGAACATGGGGAGCGATGCCCTGACCAAATCGGTGTGTCAGAGCAGTGAAGAGGACGGAAGTATAAGAAACCAGCATCACACAGATGTGGGCTGTGCAGGTGTTCAGGGCTTTCTGGTGCGCATTCTTGGAGGAGATTCTGAGGACGACCTTGATGATCAGACTATAGGACAGGGCAATGAGCATCAGGTCTAACCCGATTACTACAAATCCTAACACCAAGCCATACATCCTGTTAATTGTGATATCCCCACATGATATCTTCGCCACAGCTATGTGCTCACAGTATGTATGGGGAATAATGCGGTTGGCACAGAATGGCAGCCTTCTCAGGAGCAGGGGCCCGGGCAGCATGATGAGAATAGCTCTTGTCAAACCCACTAGCCCTAGCTTAGCTATTCGTGCATTGGTGAGGATGGTGGAGTATCTCAGGGGGTTACATATGGCAACATAGCGATCGAAGGCCATTGTCACAAGGACGGCTGACTGCATAGCAGAAACCGTGTGAAGGAAGAACGACTGGGTGAGGCAGCCACCCACAGTAATATCTTTCAAATTGAACCAAAATATACACAGTGCCTTCGGCACAACAGAGGTAGACGTGCCAATGTCTGTAAGCGCCAGCATGCAGAGCAGCAGGTACATCGGCTTGTGCAGGTTTTGCTCTTTGCCTACAACAAACAAAACCATGAAATTTCCCAACAGGCTGATAAAGTAGAACATACAGAAAGGGATGGAAATCCAGATGTGAGCAGCTTCCAGGCCAGGGATGCCTGCTAGAATAAATGTTGACGGGTCAGAGAGGGTGCGGTTGAAAGCTGCCATGAGGTGGTTGATGCGTTGATAGGGCTCAGAAATGCTCTCGGTGCCTGTGAAGGGAGATAAGCACAGTGAGGGGGGTTACACACTTTATAACAAATACTATGGTAACTATTTTATAGTTATTACCAATCTAGAAAGGGAGATGAGCAGTGAGGTGGCAATATTTCCAGATGGCTCAAGATTATTTAGTCAAATCCAGAAAAGTCTTGAGGGGGAGCTAGCCATGCCAGGTGAATGGGCAGCATGATGGCAGCTGAATTTCATTGTCAATAAGTGGAGGGAAAACCTTGAACTCCTCAAACAGCTTACGGGGTTCTAATTGAACTGTATGAACTCAGGACTGGGATCTGGGCATCATGGTACACATCTCTGTGAAACCCTGCTCACAGTGCAAGCACGGACAGAAACTAAGCAAATCACTGGGATCCAGGAGGAGTGGGACGGGGAATCATACAGACAATACAATGCCATGAGATCAGTCAGTTAATGTTTCACCCTCAATCTATTTAATTTAACAAAGATGGTTAAGTTCACTTCATAACAGTCTGTAAGTACCTACATGGAGAACCAATATTTAATAATAGACATTTTAGCCTAGTGTAAGGAGGTGTAACAGGATCCAGTGGCTGGAAGATGAAGGTAAAGAAATTCTGACTGGAAATAAGGTGTACATTTTTAAAGAGTGAGAGTAATTAACCACTGGAACAATTTACCAAGGGTCTTGGCGGATTCTTCACCACTGTGAATTTTTAAATCAAGGTTGGATGTTTCTCTAAAAGATCTGCTCTAGGAAAAGTGTTGCAGAAATTCTCCGGTCTGTGTTATACAGACTAGATGATCACATTGGTCCCTTCTGACTTTGGACTCTACGAACATGTCCCCAGGAGTCAGCTGGCGGAATTTTGCCTGCAAACTCTTACCTTAGCTTAGTGAAGGCATTTTTTCTATTCATGACTGTTGAATTTAGCCATCTGGGGAGAAATTCTCATGTGAGTGCTGCCCCTTTGACATGTTACACTAGGTGAGTATTTCACGAGGCTGAGGAATCCTGTGACCCACTGCACGTATGAACGTTTTAGGTGAGAAAAATAATGACTTCAGCCCATGATATCTTGTAAAACCCTTGCCACTAATGGCTTACAGACCTCACTAGTAAATGGTCCCAGAGCATCCTGGATTTAACGTCTGTTTCCCAGTGGCCCACTGTTTCAGGCAGCTACCAGTGTGTTCCTGCAGGTGTCAGCTGTATTTATCTAGGCCCTCACATGTCCCCGAGTTGCCCAGCTCTCATTATATAATGTGCATACTTCTCAGCTAGTGAGTTGTTCCTGTGTAACCATCCCTGTAGCACCACGCGGTCTGTGTGCGTGTAACAAGACAAATAGCACAAGTGCCTTGGCATATGCCACTTATGTGGGATTTATCACTGGTGAGTCACAGTCACTGATTATCCCCCAGCCAAGGGAGCAGGTGTAATGTGAGGCATTTATGGGCCTCTGTCTCATGGCTACCCTGCCCCTCCCTCAGCTCCTGAGCTTTTTACCTTACAACCCCCCCAAGCCCAAACCTGCTGACCTAGAACTACATGGCCCAAAAATGCAAGCCTAGGTATCAATTCTCCTTTTGTGCAGCTACTTTGCGTACCACGAGACCTCGGGAAAGGTTTGATTGTGCTTTACAGCACCCCCTTAATGAGTGTCTCAGTGCAGAGAGAATTCTTCCCTGAGTCTTTATATATCAGCAACTCATAACATGCATGATATTAGCACCTTTTGTCCAGACAATATGCTCTACGTGAAGAATTTGTGAGTCTTAGGCCACTTTTTAATAGACAGGTGTCCAATCACAAGATCAACCCCACAATTGGCATTGTCAGTTTCTCACCAAAAGTTGAAAGTCTGATAGAGAATGACGCTTGCTATTAATGGCTAGTAGAGCTGGCTAGCAAATGGTCCCAGAGCATCCTGGGTTTAACATCTGTGTCCCAGTGGCTCACCATTTAAATCAGCCACCAGTGGTTCCTGCACATGGCAGCTGTATCTATCTGGGACCTTACATGTCCCAGAGTTGCCCATTCTTGTTATATAATGTGCAAACTTCTCAGCTAGTGAGTTGTCCCTGTATAGCAGTCCCTGAAGCACCATGTGGTTTGTATGGGTGTAACAAGAGAAGTTGCATTACTGCCTTGGCATATGCCACTTATTGGTGAGATTTATCACCAGTGAGACAGTCACTGATTACCCCCCAGCCAAGGGAGCAGATGTAATGTGAGGCACCTCACCCCCTCCAGAGGAAGAATTTTGGGGAGCATGGAGAGTCTATGAGGTTGTGGGAGCCAGGGATGACTGGTGAGCATGGAGAAGACACAGGGTGCTGTTGGAATCAGAGCAGCCTGGGATGGGGAAGGAAAGTATGGACGGGGGTCAGAGTATTTTGGGAGAATGAAGCAGCTGAGGAGCAAAGTGTGACAGGTTCTCCACTGAGTGTCACCTGGAACTGGGGTAACACTGAGCCCTCTGACTCACCAGCCTGGGTGCTCTCTCTCAATGTGATGCTGTGACAAGCTGCAGACCCGTGCCTGACCCTACACCTCCACCAGCATTCACACGGGCAGGGTGACTCCCAACTGCAGTTACATGAAGGCTCTCTGACCAGCAACTGCCTGAAACAACAATAAAGAGGCTACAAGCAAACTAACCACCAGCTCCCTAGCCAAGGACCTCAGAGCTCTACTGTCCTACTCTGGTCCAAACTCTAACCAGTATGAATTTGTTACCCGGTTCGCCACTCCCTCAATGTGGGGAGGACAATGCACACTTGTAGTAACCAAGCTGAGATGTTTTTTCCCTCAGACACATCACTTAAAGGCACCCTGGGTTTAGATTAAAACATAAAATCTATCTGTTGTAGTTAATAAAGTTGTTTTAAGTGATTATAAGGGATAGCAAACAGATCAAAGCAGATTACCTAGCAAATAAACAAAAGCACAAACTAAGTGTAACTATGAATTAGCAGTTTCTCACCCTGATTGATTCTACAAGCTGTCTGGCAGATTTTCAAGACACAATCTGCATCTGCTTTGAAGCTTGGGTTACAGTGTCACACAAAGAGAAATGGATCTTCCGCTGATGAAATGCCTGAATTTACATAACAACAGTTGGAAACAAAATTGAGTAAAGGTTGTGACTGCAGTTCTGTGGCTTGCCAGGGCAAAGAGACACTGAGACCTGCCCAAATACACTGGGAGTCAGGAAAGATCCCAGCGCTGGCCTTGGACCAACAATTAAAAGAGAAATTTAATTTCAGCAGTGCCTGTAAGTGTATACCCGGCTCCCTGCCCCCACCACATTCAGTGCTGCCTGCCTGTCTGTTTACACCTCCCTGTCATTCCCATAACCCACAGCACTGTCTGCTTAGAATATCAGGGTTGGAAGGGACCTCAGGAGGTCATCTAGTCCAAGTGCTTTTCTGTGTACACCTCCCTCCTTGCCCCCACAACTCCCAGCACTGCTCACCTGTCTGTGTATAGCCCCCGCCTGCCCCACATCCACCAGCACTGCCTGCCTGTCCCTGTAGATCCCCCACACCCCACAACTTCCAGCCCTGCCACACAGTGATACCTCTCACCCAGGACCAAAACCAGGAGCCAGATCCCACAGTGAGAGATCATAGAAATACTTCCTCAGACTAGGTTAAACTCAGTGTCTGCCTGCACCAGGGAAAAGGGGGAGATCAGCCTGAACTGCCTTTCTGGGGACAAAGGGAACCCCAGCAGCAGCTCAGGCTGTGCAGGGAAGGAGAGAGGGATAGACCCGGTGGGAGGGAGAGAGGATGTGGGGACTAAAAGGAGCCAGTGTGAGTAACTCTTCCTCAAAATGACACACAGCTTTAAAAAAAACAGAAGTACTTGTGGCACCTTAGAGACGAACAAATGTATTTGAGTGTAAGCTTTTGTGGGCTACAGCCCACTTCTTTGGATGCATCGAATGGAACATATATTGAGGAGATATATATACACATACAGAGAGCATGAACAGGTGGGAGTTGTCTTACCAACTGTGAGATGCCAATTAAGTAGGAGGGGAAAAAAAACTTTTGAAGTGATAATCAAGCTAGCCCAGTACAGACAGTTTGATAAGATGTGTGAGAATACTTACAAGGGGAGATAGATTCAATGTTTGTAATGGCTCAGCCATTCCCAGTCTCTATTTAAGCCTAAATTGATTGTATCTAATTTGCATATCAATTCAAGCTCAGCAGTTTCTCGCTGGAGTCTCACTTGGGAGACAGACCTGTCCTCGCTTACAGACAAGCCCCCAACCTGAAGCAAATACTCACCGGCACCACACATCACTGAACAAAACCACTGACCCAGGAACCTATCCTTGTAAGAAAGCCCGATGCCAACTCTGCCCACATATATATTCAAGTGACATCATCATAGGACCTAATCACACCAGCCATGCCATCAGGGGCTCCTTCACCTGCACATCTACCAATGTGATATATGCCATCATGTGCCAGCAATATACATTGGCCAAACTGGACAGTCTCTGACATGTACATTGGCCAAACTGGACAGTCTCTAGGCAAAAGAATTAATGGACACAAATCTGACATCAGGAATCATAACATTCAAAAACCAGTAGGAGAACACTTTAACCTGTCTGGTCATTCAATGACAGACCTGCGGGTAGCAATTTTGCAACAAAAAAGCTTCAAAAACATACATCTGTAGTTCCAATTTTACCAGGTAAATCCCTTGGTGTTTCTGATAATACTAAACTGTTCAAGTCACTGTGCTGGTGAATTCCAGCCCAGATGGTTTTTGACTTGAACCCTGGAAACCGTCCTGAGCCCTGAGCACTAATTTTATTGCTAAAACAGGCAACTCACCAAAATCCCGCTCAGCAGAAAAAGGAAATCTCCATACTGTGACAGAAAGGCAGATCCCTGAGAAGCAGTGCATGAATTTCACATGCCTGATGCTCGCTGTGTTGAACAACAACCTTTATGATTCCCTGTACAGCCCCTGTAGACTCTCAGGTTAGCCGGGACTCCCCGACAATTCCCTTGGCCTCTTGAGCAGCAGGAACAGCAGAAAATAGACCCTCGAGAACTTCAGCCTAAGAGCCTCCCAGAGGAGTGAAGAAATAATTCTCTGATACCAGGGGCTCAAATTGTCAGGGCAAACTGAATCTTGCAGACTTGTTAGAGTGGCCCAGCACTACTGAAACCCCGAAGAGAAAATGAAGAGCCACAACATAGATGGACTCACTAGTCTATCAGCATTTCTGTGCCGCTGCCCATCATCATAGAATCTGAGCATCTCCTCCTCCCCTCCCGGCTGACAAGCCCTGTGCTGAATCCATGAGAACACAACATGCATATGGAAAGGCACTCACAAATCCTTGTGAGTAACAGCCCCTCCCATCTGATAGCCTGTCTTTGACAGAGGGCAGCACTGATTGCCCCTGCTTAGTCAAAAAAAACCCATAACGCAGTATCGTGCCATGGGCAGGAGCAGCTTCCTGAGTCCCTTCAGTGACCAGCATGTGCCCTGAAGCCTGACGATTGCTAGAGTCACTGCACAGGCTGTAATTAGGATAGGGAGGGTGGAGGGAGATGTTCAGAGACACAGATGTGAGTTAGGTGCCCAGTGTCCATCAGCATTCAGTGGGATTCTGGTGCCTACTGCCCTTGTGACTTTTCCAATCTGTTATAGTCATGGCCTTCACAATATCTTCTGGCAAAGAGTTCCACGGGAGAGGTCCAAAGAGTTTGCTGAGGATAGGTCCATCAGTGGCTACTAGTCAGGATGGGCAGGGATGGTGTCCCTAGCCTCTGTTTGCCAGAAGGTGGGAATGGGCAACGGGGGATGGATCACTTGATGATTACCTCTTCTGTTCATTCCCTCTGAAGCACCAGGCATTGGCCACTGTTGGAACACAGCATACTGGGCTAGATGGAGATTTGATCTGAAACAGTTGTGCCATTCTTACGACTGAGAGGGGGTATGATATAGTTCTATAAAAGTGTGACTGCTGTGGAGAAAGTGAACACAGAACTGTTGTTTACTCCTTCACATAACACAAGAACTAGGGGTCACCCAATGAATTTAACACCCAGCAAGTTTAAAACAAATGAAAGGAAATATCTCTTCGCACACTGCACAGTCAACCTGTGGAACTCTTTGCCAGGGGATGTGTTGAAGGCCAAGACTGTAACAGGGTTCAAAAAATAATTTGATAAGTTCATTGAGGATAGGTCAACCAATGACTCTTAGCCAAGATGTTCAGGGACACAACCTCATGCTCTGAGTGTCTTAGCCTCTGACTGCCAGATGCTGGGACTGGATGATAGGAGATGGATACCTTGATAATTCACTTGTTCTTTCCCTCTGAAGCACCTGGAACTGACCACTGTCAGAAGACAGATAAGAACGTAAGACTGGCCACACTGGATCAGGACAATGGTCCATCTAGTCCAGTACCCTGAGTCTCCTTTTTCTTCTCTGAGTGCTGGATCTCATAGTCGATGGGGCCCACATGCCTCACTACCTCAAATGGTTCCCTGTCATCAAACCAGTAATTTGAACTGCAAGCTTGGTAGTAACAATAACACTCAATCATGCAGTTTGAACACTCGCAGCTGGACTCCTGTGTTATAGGCCTTCTCTTGGACCAGTTGTGCATTTAGCAAATTCTTCTAGCAAACACCTGCAACGTCTTCAGGTGATTTCTTAATTGAAGAATGTATTCGACTATGTTCATCACCTGGGGTCTTTGCTGTGCCATGTTTCTCGAAGCAGGTCTGGAAATCCTCAAGGTTGCTTCCCAGACACCCAGTTAAAAGGGAGAAAACTTGATAGCTTGTGGCACCTCCCTGATAGCAAAAAGGAGGCAGGAGAAGAGTTGGTCCCAGTGTCTGGGAGCCGAGGCTCCAAACTTCTTTAATGTCGCCATCAAAGTTCTGAGAAATCAATCCACCAGCCTAACAGTTTGGGGATGGTAGATCAACGTTCTGAACACCTTTACCCTCAGTAGATCACACAATTCTTTCATTAGTTGTAAAGTGAAGTTAGGTCATTGATCAGTAAGGATTTCTCGGGGTATTACCAAGCGGGAGGAGAATTTCATAAGCTAATTTGCAATGGTAGGTACATTGGTGGAGCGCAAGGGGATGGCTTTGGGTACACACCGTGTAGTCAAGGATAACAGTGATATGTTAATATCTCACAGCACTCTTCTCTAGGAGCCCCACAAAGTCTATGCCTATTGCTTCAAATAGGTTATCAACATGAGGGAGCAGGCTGAGAGAGGCTTTAGGTATTCCCCTGGGACTGCGCAGGGTAGGAGAGAGAGAGAGAGAGAGAGAGAGAGAGAGAGCGCCTACAGCACTGGGCCTGCTGCAAGAGCTGAGGCCTGAACAAGAGGCTGTGATCCAAAGTTAGGCCAGGTATTAAAGCAGATGCTCACAAGTTCACTGTCCAGTACATGAACTCGGCAAAGTTGGCTGGTGTACTAGGCATTAGATATTTACGTAAATATATTCCTGCTAGTGCGGATACATCCGAACCTAGTACAAGATAAGATGGCTTGACAAAATAATGAATAGGGCAGTTTTATCTTAGGCTACATCTACACTACAGGGGGGGGGTCGATTTAAGATACGCAAATTCAGCTACGTGAATAGCGTAGCTGAATTCGACGTATCGCAGCCGACTTACCCCGCTGTGAGGATGGCGGCAAAATCGACCTCTGTGGCTTCCCGTCGACGGTGCTTACTCCCACCTCCGCTGGTGGAGTAAGAGCGTCGATTCGGGGATGGATTGTCGCGTCCCAACGGGACGCAATAAATCGATCCCCGAGAGGTCGATTTCTACCCGCCGATTCAGGCGGGTAGTGTAGACCCAGCCTAAGATATGAGGTACAAGAGGAAGTAACAAACAGATTTAATGAAACAGAAAAAGTGATATGTACGTTGTTTATCCCAGTTGTTTATTTCAGTCTATAAATGTTGGGGTACCTCATCTTAACCCTTTGTGTGGCCTAGGGGACAGCAGAGACTCCTGCTGCTGACTGAGCCACTCAGTACTTATGTGTTAGCATACCTGTAAGCATGGAGGGCGGGTGCGATGGTTATGCTTTGAGGACAACACACCTGGCTGAGTGCCTTTGTCACCAAACCATGCCTGTGGTCTTTCTTTATGAGTAACTTTGAGGTCTGCTGAATGAGCAGGCTGCCTTGTCTGCTAGTAAGGATAACATTGGAGCTCCAAGGATAGGAGCACTGAGCAACCTGAACAGCATTACCAAGGCAACAACATTCCAGCCTTCAACACATAACAACTGCCCACTGACACTCTGAGCAGGAAGCACAACTGTCGCTGACTAGCTTCCAGACAGCGGTGTTGTTCTCCCCTGCACTCAAAGTGTGGCCACTGCCTCAGTCGCTGGGGTTCCACCACTTCCCCAGTCACCACAGGAAGTTGTTCATAGGCATGGCTAAGGATAAGATTATGTCACAGAGATCACAGAATCTGTGACTTTATGAGACATCCTTGACATTTTACACTTGAGCCCTGGGGTGGCAGAACCAGAGCTGTCAGCTGGTGAGGGCCCGAGACCTGTCAGCCCCACAGGGGGCGGGGTCCCCAGAGCTGTCAGCCACAGTGGCGGCAGGTACTGAACTCAAGTTTTAGCTACCTCCAGCAGTGTTCCCAGAGCCCCTGGGCTACCACCTCATGTCAGTTCTCTGGTAGATATTTCTCTTCATGAAAGCAACACCAAAGTGTCTTTTCATGATATACAAATAATCAAGGATGGTGGCCTTGACTCTGTGGTAATCAAGGCTGGTAGAAACTCGCTGGGGCCCAGAGGAGAAACTGAGGAGTAGCCCCCCCGCCCAGGGTTGAAGTCTGAGGCCTGTTGCCTGGGGCTGAAGCCCAAGGCCCCAGGCTTTGCCACTCACTGCCCCCCAAACATTCCTCCATGCCCCCTAGGAGGGTGCACCTCACAGATTGAAAACCTCTGTGTTAATGTGATTTATTTCCACTTTTAGAGATTAAATTACTGTAACACTTGCACTACATTTACCCACGTGACTATGCAGATATGATATAATTTAGTTTTGTGATTCTCCCTGTGTGGTGGGGCCCCAGACAATTGCCCTGCTTGTTACGCTCTAATGCCTGTAACGTTCCCCTCTGGTGTTATCTGGACCGGTGATCTGCTAGGTCACTCCAATCCTTGACTCTGGGAGCCAGCCTTACCCTGCTCTACTGTGAGAACCCCCACTCCTGGGCTGTTCACACACAGCCGCTGGCATGTAAGCTGCTCCTTGGATTATGCAATTGAATGACACTAGCCAATATCTCCAGTCCCAGAGACAACCCTAGGAACCTCCATCTTGCAGTGTCCAGTTATGCCCGCTGAACACTGTAGGCTTATATGAGTTTGTCAATTTAACAAAGAAATTTATATGCACGAGGCTTGTTATCCCCAGGGGAGTATCTGACATGCTTTAAACCAAACTCATTGCTTCAGGTAGAATAAGCAAACACATTTAGTAACTATAAAGATAGATTTTAAAGTGATTATAAGTCAAAGCACAAGAACTCAGATTTGGCTAAATGAAATAAAAGCAAAATCTGATTTTGACACTTTCAATGCCCTTACAAACTTAGATGCTTCACACGACAGGCTGGCCGCAATTCAGCCAGGCTCTCCCCTTTGATCAGCGGTTCAGTCGCTTAGTGGTGATGTCTGTAGATGGAAGCGGAAGAGAGAGGAAGAGCATGGCAAAAGTCTCTCCCTTTTATCATGATCTTTCTTCCCTCTTGGCTTTGCCTCCCCCCCCCCCCCTTCAGAGTTAGGTGAGCATTACCTCATCGCAGTTCCAAACTGACCAAATGAAGGGGGGGTGACTCACTCGAGAGTCTAAGGGTATGTCTTCACTACCCGCCGGATTGGCGGGTAGTAATCGATCTATCGGGGATCGATTTATCACGTCTCATTTAGACCCGATAAATCAATCCCTGAACGTGCTCCTGTCGACTCCGGAACTCCACCAGAGCAAGAGGCGGAAGCGGAGTCGACGGGGGAGCCGCGGCCATCGATCCCACGCCGTGAGGACCCGAGTTAAATCGAACTAAAATACGTTGACTTCAGCTATGTTGTTCCCATAGCAGAAGTTGCGTATCTTAGATCGATCCCCTCCCCCCAGTGTAGACCAGCCCTAACAGATCCTTTTGTTGCTGCCTAGGCCATCATCCTTTGTTCCTGTGAGGCTGGGCTGGGTTTTTCCCATACATGCCTTGATGAGGTGTGAACTTCCCCTCTGCACTTAGAAAGTTTTTGCCTAGGCTTATTTTAAGCAATGAGCATACATTTTCGGCCTCATAACTATATACATGAAATTATAACCTATAACATTACTATAGTATTATTGCAACAACCATTACTATCACATCACAATAACAACAATGCTCACCATGGTTCCTTCTGATCTTGGAATCTACCAACATGTCACCAGGAGTGAGCTGGAGGCATTTTGCCTGCAAGTTCACGCCTGAGCTTCCTGAAGACATTTTTTTTCTATTCATGACAGTGCTGAATTTAACCCTATGAAGAGAAAGTCTCATGTGACAGTGGTGTCTTAAAAATGTTACGCTAGGTGTGTATTTCTCGGGGCAGAGGTATGCCATGAGGCACTGCATGGCTGAACATTTTAGGTGAGAAAAATAATGACCTGACCCCATAAAATCTCATACAACCCATGTCTTTAATGGTTAACAGAGCTGGCTAGCAAAAGATCCCAGAGCATCCTGGGTTTAACGTCTATGTCACAGTGGCTCATTGTTTCAGGCCTCTATCAGTGACTCCTGAACATGGCACCTGTATTTATCTAGACCCTAACATATCCCAGAGTGTCCCAATCTCATTATACAATGTTCATACTTCTCAGCTTGTGAGTTATTTCTGTGTAGCAGCCCCTGAAGCCGCACACTGTGTGTATGGGTGCACCCTCAGCAGCAGTACAGGTGCCCTGGCATTGCCACTCTGTGTCTCACTGGTGAGAAATCTCACACACGATCAATGATCTCCCCCTAGCTAAGAAGCATAAGTGACGGGAGGCAATCTGCTACAGTGTGTCCACATTCCGTTACAGTCAGAGACACCCACCTGCCCCAGGAGGCCTCATTACACATCTTTGGTTTGTGCATTAGGCAGGATGTCCATTCCCTATTTCACCAGTTACAGGAATCTGTGCCACTGGAATCTCGATACTCCATAACATGCCCCATGCCCCAAACACACACATTGTGCATTCCTGGACCTCCCACAATGAGATGTCTAACACCGCATGGTTTCCTCTAAGCTAGAAATATACTTTTCTTTTCACTACCTTTTGGTGTTTCTCCTCCTCTCCAGAACCAAGAGGTGCAGGGGCACACAGAAAGCATACTCTTCTCACCTCCGTGTAAAAAATTGTTATCCTGATTGTTTTAAACCTTTAAGCCTGTCAGTTTGAGATTTCGGCAACTCTCCTGTCAGTTCTTTGGTCCAAACGAGCTCACCAATCCTTAGAGGCCACAGGACAACTCCAGTTGAAGTCCCAGGAGGCTCATGGCTGGCGATAATCAGGCCATTTATTTAGATCCCTACACGTGGATTTAGATTGAAATCCTGGT